ACCCAGAAATAGACCCACGCTAACACACCTGACTGATAATTGACAGGTGCAAAAGTAGTTCAATGGAAGACAAATAGTTTTTTCAGCAAATAATGGGCATCCATAATAAAAAAAAAATGAGCTGTCATCTAAACCTCATACCTTTAAAAAAAATTAATTCATTTTTTAAAATTTTTATTTATTTATTTATTTATTTATTTATTTTTTGAGATGGAGTTTCACTCATGTTACCCAGGCTGGAGTGCAATGGCGCGATCTTGGCTCACCGCAACCTCCGCCTCCTGGGTTCAGGCAATTCTCCTGCCTCAGCCTCTTGAGTAGCTGGGATTACAGGCACGCACCACCATGCCCAGCTAATTTTTTGTATTTTTGGTAGAGACGGGGTTTCACCATGTTGACCAGGATGGTCTCGATCTCTTGATCTCGTGGTCCACCCGCCTCAGCCTCCCAAAGTGCTGGGATTACAGGCTTGAGCCACCGCGCCCAGCCGTAAAATTAATTCATTATTTGATATATTCTCTGGAGTTTTTGGCAAAAGAAATAAAAAAAAATAAATAATTCAAAATAGATCATAGATTTAAATGTAAAACGTGAAACTAAAAAGAATGAAAAACTTTTAGAACCAAACATAGGAGAAAATCTTTGGGAAGTAGGACCAGATGAACAGCTCTTATGACATGGCACCAAATGCATGATTTATAAAAGGAAAAACTGATAAATTGAACTTCACCAAAATTAAAAAGTTTTGTTAAATGCCCTGTTAAGATGATCAGAAGATAAACTACTGGAAGGAAATATTTGCGTATCATATACCAGCAGTCCTCATTTTATGTTATGTAGAATTGTAAAAATGTGCACACTGAAACTATGCAAAACAGTCTTAATCAATGGAAAAACTATGATTGTTCCATGATCTTTAAAATGTTTTGCCAGACATTAAAACAACTACATTGCTATTGGTTATAAACATATATAGAAATGAAAAAGCAATACTAATATTTAGTACACTGTAATTTAAAACATTAGAAACATTTAGAATTATGCTGGACACAATAGCTCACACCTGCAATCCTAGCACTTCGGGAGGATCAACTGATTCCAGGAGTTTGAGACCAGCCTAGGCAACATAGCCCAGAGATGGTCTATGTTTTCTACAAAAAATAAAGTTTTTTCTACCAAAAAAAAAAAAATCTACAAAAAAATCTTGCTGGAATTTTGATAGAAATTGCACTAAACTAGTAGATAAATTTAAGGATAATTCCATTTAATTCTTTTTTTATTTTTTGAGACAGGGCCTCTGTTGCCCAGGTGGGAGTGCAGTGGCAGGATTACAGCTCAAGCAATCCTCCCACCTCAGCCTCCCAGGTAGCTGGGACTATAGGTGTGTTCCAGCATTTCACACCAAAAAGTCAAAAAGTACAATTTTTTTTTTTTTTTTTTTGAGACAGAGTCTCTCTCTGTCACCCAGGCTGGAGTGCAGTGGTATGACGTTGGCTCACTGCAGCCTTTGCTTCCCAGGTTGAAGTGATTCTGCTGCCCCAACCTTCCAGGCAGCTGTGATTACAGGCATGTGCCACCATGCCTGGCTCCTTTTTGTATTTTTGGTAGAGAAGGGGTTTCTCTAGGCTGGTTTCCAATTCCTGGCCTCAAGTGATCCTCTCACCTTGACCTCCCAAAGTGCTGAGATTACAGGCATAAGCCACTGCACCTGACCAAAAAATACAAATAATTTTTGTGTTTTTTGTAGACACTGGGTTTCGCCATGTTGCCCAGGCTGGTCTTGAACTCCTGAGCTCAAGCGATCCACCCACCTCAGCCTCCCGAAGAGCTGAGATTACAGATGTGAGCCACCACACCCAGTCAGTTTTTTAGTTTTCTGTGAAAACTTACGCATTAGCTAAGCATGATGACATGTATCTGTAGTCGTAACTACTCAGGCTGAGGTGGGAGGATCACTTGAGTCCAGGAGAGCGAGACTGTAGTAAGCTGTGGTTACCACTGCACTTCAGCCTAAGCAATAGCTCGAGACCNAAAAAAAAAAAAAAAAAAAAAAAAAAAAAAAAAAAAAAAAAAAAAAAAAAAAAAAAAAAAAAAAAATTATGACATAGAGCAAGCATCTTTTCTCTCTTGACTAATTACCATACTTCTTTCTAAGTATGAATGAGCCTCCAACATTTCACCCTTTGTACTTTCAATGTTGTGAGATTCTCAGAGAATTCCTGTAATGTGAAGTTTGTTGCCAGTGTCATTTCATCCTTTTTATCACTTTCCTAATTTGTGTCTGTAAGTTTGCCTTTGCTAAGTTCCTCTGTTTGCACATCCAGAGCTTATCAAACAGTGGCAGTGTTAACATTTCCACAGTCAGCCATTTCTTCTGTAACTCCATGTACATTCAATTCGAATTTCATTGGCAAAGTTACCACCTTTCATTTGTTTGCTGCTCTTTTATCTTTGCTGGCCAGTACTCTGTTTAAAAAATATAATTTAAAAAATATAAATACAGATGGAATCTCTATATGTTGGCTAGGCTGGTCTGGAACTCCTGAGCTCAAGTGGTTCACCTGCCTTGGCCTCCCAAAGTGCTGGGTTTTTAGGCGTGAGCCACTGTATGTATAACATTTTTTAAATGCCAGAAATATAAAGATGGAGAACAAATTAGTGACTACCAGGGCACAGGGATGTAAGAGAACAGAATGGGAGGATAAAGCGTAGCTGTAAAGGAGTAGCACAGGCTGGGCACAGTGGCTCGTGCCTGTAATCCCAGCACTTTGGGAGACCGAAGTGGGTGGATCATGAGGTCAGGAGATTGAGACCATCCTGGCTAACAGTGAAACCCTGTCTCTACTAAAAATATAAAAAATTAGCCAGATGTGGTGGCGAGTGCCTATAATCCCAGCTACTTGGAAGGCTGAGGCAGGAGAATCACTTGAACCCAGGAGACTGGGGTTGCAGTGAGCTGAGATCTCACCACTGCACTCCAGCCTGGGTAACAGAGCAAGACTCTGTCTCAAAAAAAAAAAAAAAAAGGAGTAGCACATAGTAGATTTTGTGATCGTGGTGGGACAGTTCTTTAGCATGATTGTTCTGGTAATTAGATAAGTTTATATCTCAGGTAAAATTACATAGAATGATACACATACATGTAAAAACTGGTGAAATCTGAACAACGTGTATAGTCAATGGTATTGTACCTATATCCTTTTCTTGATTTTTTATTTATTTTTTGTAGAGATGGAGCTTCTCCATGTTGGTCTGGCTGGTCTCAAACTCTCGACCTCAGGTGATCCTCCCACCTTGGCCTCCCAAAGTGCTGGGATTATGAGCGTGAGCCACCGTGCCCGGCCCTTTTCTTGATTTTGACATTGTAGTATCTTTATGTAAAATGTTAACATTGGGGAAAGCTGGATGAAGGGTATATGACACTCTCTGTACTATTTGTGTTATTTCCTGGGAATTTATAATTATTTGAAAGTAAAAATTGTTTGTTTTTTGAGATGGAGTATCGCTTTGTCACCCAGGCTGGAGTGCAGTGGTGTGATCTCGGCTCACTGTAACCTCCGCCTCCCAGGTGCAAGCAATTCTCCTGCCTTAGCCTCCTGAGTAGCTGGGATTATAGGTGTGTGCCACCACGCCTGGCTAGTTTTTGTATTTTTAGTAGAGATGGGGTTTCACCATGTTGCTCAGGCTGGTCTCAAACTCCTGACCTCAGGTGATCCACCCCCCTCAGCCTCTCAAAGTGCTGGGATTACAGTGGTGAACTGCTAGTCCTGGCCAAAAAGTTTTTGTTTTTTTTTTTTTTAAGGCCTTCTTGAGAGCCAGGCACACATCGTTTTTGTGAGACAAATGTCCCTAGTTTCTTAATGTGCTCACTTACCTGTCATCTCACAGCTCTAGAAAGTGACTCAGCCTTCCCAGACCTCTTTGCTTGGCTCTGGCAGCCATCCAGAGACCACTAGCTGCGTGTAGGGAGAGCATCTCATGTTGTTTTAGCCCAGAGAATCAGGATGTAGTACCCCATGGATGTGATTGTTCCTCTAGGAGCTTGGTTTTTTTTAAGAGAGGCTGATTGATTTCTTTGGTTGGTGTTTCTATGGAGTGCTTTGTAACTGGGGAGAAAAAAACCATAGGTAATAGATGAGCAATTTGGAGATGACAGCTGTTCATCATCTGGCTTTTTATAAATATCTGTGCCTTTTAATTTTTCTTGGAAGACAGATACATAAACTACTGTGACTTTTCAGACTCTTTATGGGCACTATCCTCTCAAATTGGGAAGAAAACAGTGTCACATGTATAAAATATTTAATTAAAGTCTTTTATTCACCTTTAGTGTAACTTCATTTTTAAAATCTTTATATGTGAGTGGAGTGGGGAGGGATTGAGAGAGAATTGTTCAAGATTTAAGTATAGTACATATAGTAATTTAGCCATTTCAAACAGTTGAACAAATTGTATACCTGTGGTTAGAGTGACAGTAATGACAGTGATTTAATTTTCATCAGCAAATTGCTCCTGCTCTGACAGCTCTTACCCATAGTTTTCTCTGTCCAGGTTTACCTAAAATGTTGCTGGGTTGGGTAGGGCAAGGCCAAGGTATTCTGACTGTGGAAGGTGGAGAAGCAGGGTGTGGGTTATTCTACCTTAGGTCTAGCTGTTTCATGTGATGTTTGGGGTTGAAGATGAGCTTGCATTGCTTCCCCTTACCTCAGTGATGGCGACAAGAAGCATTTCTGCTCTTCCTGAACATTGGAAATCAGACTTGAATAAGTAAACCTTGGAACATCTTGATTGTGTTTTTAGAGCAGAGTCCTATATAGGTGGACTTTGAGGGTTCTCTTCTCTGAGCATCTTAGAAAGTGTTAGTATTTTTGATAGTGCAGATTAGAGAAAACTGAGGCTTGGAGCAGCAGTTTTTTGAGGATGGGCATCCATAGTAGACCACAGACATTTTGGGGAGATGTCTCCAACCAATGTAACCATCTCTTTGCTCCTCTCCGTAGGCAAGACAGGCTGAGGTAAAGCGGCTTTTCCGCCCCATTGAGGAACTGAAGAAGGACTTCGATGAGCTGAATGTTGTCATTGAGACTGATATGCAGATCATGGTACGGCTGATCAACAAGTTCAATAGTTCCAGCTCCAGTTTGGAAGAAAAGATTGCTGCACTCTTTGATCTTGAGTATTATGTCCATCAGGTACTATATTTCTTTGTCCATAAGTCAGACTTTTAAACAACAGCTCCAAAAATAAATCCCCCTTCTCTAACCCCTAAGAAAATAGCATCAGCATCTTTACTTCTCTCTCAGAGCATAGACTATTTTTAATCCAGGCATATTGTCTTTTGTAGTAAGGTACAGTCTTAGAGGCCAGAGCCAACCTCTTTTTCTGTTTGAGACGGAGTCTCACTCTGTCACCCAGCCTGGAGTGCAGTGGTGCAGTCTCAGCTCACTGCATCCTCCGCCTCCTAGGTTTAAGCTATTCTCCTGCCTCTGTCTCCTGAATAACTGGTATTAGAGATGCCCAGCTAATTTTCTGCGTTTTTGATAGTGGCAGGGTTTCACTGTGTTGGCCAGGCTGGTCTTGAACTCCTAACCTCAAGTGATCCACCCACCTTGGTTTCCCAGAGTTCTGGGATTACAGGTGTCAGCCACCATGCCTGGCTAGCCAACCTCTTTTTCATGTGGAGTGTTACCTTCTTAGTACCTCTGAGGGTACCATAGAGATAAAATAGACATAGTCCTTTCTATGTAGCTTATTGTCTGGAAGAAGAAGCTATTAAATAAGTAACAATAGAACAAATTAATGATTAAATAATGAGATAATTTAAGAGTGTAATGAGGGCTCCAGAGCGTGATGTAAGAGTATGTAACTGGGGAACTTAGAGCCTGGTCATGGACAATAAGGGAGGCTTCTCAGAGGATGTGACATTTAGGCCAAGTGTTACAGGGTGACTGGGGTTGGCTGGGTGAAGAGAGGGGATTAGAGCAGGGACTGGCAAACTACTGCCCATAGGCCAAACTGGCCCAATGCCTCCTTTCATAAATTAAATTTGATTGGGGCACAACGACCCTTGTTTGTTCATACATTGTTTATTGCTGTTTTTATGCTACAATGGCAGACTTGAGTAGTTGTGACAGAGACCATATGGCTCAACAAAGTAAAAAATATTTGCTACCAGGCCCTTTAGAAAAAGTTTGCCAATCCTTAGATTAGAGCATTCCAGCTAGAGGAAACAACATGTGCAGAGATTCTAGGGCAGGGAAGAGCTTGGTGAGATTGAGGGCATGGAACAGATTGGAGTGACTGGAGCCCAGTGGCCTGGAGGGGAGCACAGATGAAGTGGGAAGGTTTCGGGGGTTGGAGAGGTGAGGTTGGGAATATCATGCTCTTTATGGTTTTAGCCTTGATCCTCAGAACCACTGGAGAGTTTGAAGCAGGGAAGTAACTGATCAGACTTATAATGACTAATATTTCTTGAGTGTTATTACATACCAGGAACTCTTTCAAGTGCTCTGTACATGTTAATTCATTGACTTCCCTGTGAGTAGGTACCACTAGTAATCCCATTTCATAACTGAGGAAAATTAGGCACAGAGAGGTTATGTAATTGCTCAAGATCATCCAGCCTAGTGAGTGATAGAGCTGGAATTTGCAACAAGGTCTGTCTGACCCTATACTCTGTGCTCTAAAACTTCTTGCCATTCTGTTTCTCAAAGGAAACCGATACCTTTTGAATTAAGCTCAAAAGGTGGAGCTAATGAGGAGCCAATAAAAGCCATTGATTTATTCAATAAATAAATTTATCAAGTGTCTACTAAGTCCCAGGCACTGTTCCAGCACTTGAGATATGTCTATGAACAAAATTAGGGCTTACTTTCTAGCAGAAGCAGATAGACAAATGTAAGAAAGGAATATGTTATAAGTAATATGTTTAAAGATGATAAATATTGTAGAAAAAAAAAAGTAGGGTGAGCTAGGAACTGGCAGCATTGAGAAAGGGCATCTCAGCCTGGAGGAACAAGTGCAAAAGCCCAGTGGTGGCAGCCTGCTTAGTGTGTTTGAATCAGTGCGACCGGAGCTGAGAGAGGGCAGAGGAAGAGTAGATGGAGCTCAGAGAGATAATGGGAGGAAAAATAGAGAGAGCCTGTAGGCCATGGAAAAGAGTGAACTTGGATATTATTGGAGGATATTGAGTAGAAGAATGACGTGATCTGACTTACTTTTAAAAGGATTCCTCCAGCTGCTGTGTTGAGAATTAGACTGCAGGTAGGGAGCTTGGTAGAAGCAGAGACCAGATAGGAGACTATTACAGTAATCCAGACTAGGGACAACAGTGGCCCAGGAGGCTGTGGAATCATAATCAAAGGCTTGTTTGAGATCCTTGTCAAGACATAGATCCTCAATGTCCTCCCATGCACGACAGTGCCCTTGTTCTCTATAAACTGAGCTAAAAGACATACTTTCTTCCTTTAGGATTTTGCCAGCATCTGTGGTGAAAGGGGATGAGTGTGCACTGTATCCATAGGAATTATGGGGCAGCCTCTTCATCTTCTTTTTCTGCTCATAACTGTTTCTCAGGCCTCAAATAGCAGGACTCTGATCCTCTTAGAGAAAAAAATGAACCTGGGTTCTCTTTTCTGCTTTCCAGCCTTACTCTCCAGGGTAAAAACCAAAAACTCCAACAGCTTTTCCACTATAGATATTTAAAGGATTAGGGATACAAGGGGTTTTTGGCCAACTCAGTCCTCCTCTGATTTGACAGGCTTCATTTTTACATATTTGGATGAATCTTTAGGTATCGGGTCTCTATGGGCTCTTGCTCATGAAACACCAAAATGACCAGAGAGCTTATCATACCTAGAAGGGCATGGATCCACAGGAGGCTTGGGCTAGCAGTGCCCCAGCAAAGTTTTTGTTTTTCCTTGTAGGTCCTTTGTCACTTAGCGGTGTCTCCCCTAAGGTGACATCCCCCTTCTGCTTTTACAGGTCCCCTTACCAGACTCATCCTGAGGTCATCCCAAAACCAGTCCCTGGCAGAAGCCACATTTGTCTCTTGGTAGAGGAATGTTCTAGATCATTGGTATTTCGACTGGAAGGTCTGGTGCACCAGGCTACCCTGCAGCAGTGTGAAGCTGTGATTTCACTGGAGGATTAAGTAGGACACAGCTCAGCCTGAGTTCTGGTTGTGATGGGAGCTTGGGGTGATGTAGTACCAGCTTTAAGGAAGATGGCACTTTCCTAGCCAGGAACTTCCCCAGTCCATTTTCATTCCAGAATCACTGAATGGCATTTTCAGGAGCTGTAGTCGCCAAGAACCCAAACGAGGTCTGCCCAGGCTTCCTCACAGCCATATTTGAATTATTAAACAGGATATGTGAAAAGCAAAACCTTGTGTGTGGAAAGCAGATGGTGAGAGGAGTGGCCTCTGTCCGCCCTATCTACCTGGGGCAGTACATTTGCCTTCCCCCACGTGTCTCAGTTATGTACCACCATTTCTCCCCTTTGCTGTTTCCTGTTCTCTCCTTGTCTTGTCTCTCCTGGATGTTGGCATAGTTCCCTTCTGCACTCCCTCCTCCCCTCTTCCTCTCTGCCTGTCCCACCCTACCCCGAAGGCAGCCCAAGAACGGTTTTGGCCCCAGACCCAGATGGGGAGCTGTGGACCTGGGCTGTGGTCATGGCTTCTCCTGTATGTCACCAGGGAGGGCCCAGCTTTTGATGTGCACTGGGCAGAATGAATCGTTTCTTCCTCACTGTTAGTGAAATAAAACATGAGAAAACATCTCGAAAAGGCTGAGGTGCTTTTATAAATGTCAGCATTTCTGTCATGCTGAATTATCATTGTAGTAATATAGATAAACTGACTCTAGAACAGAAGGTCCGTGACTCTGGGCTGTGTTGCTTTGGAGCTGACCGAGTGGCAGCTGCTCTGCTAGGAACTCAAACCAGCTTTGATAAGTGGCCATACCAGGCATGCTATGACATGATTCTGAGCCATAGTTTTATATCCAGAAACCCTAGAGGAAGGACAACCAAAGAATAGGCAGTGAATTATTATTATTATTATTATTATTATTATTATTATTTTGAGATGTGTCACCAGGCTGGAGTGCAGTGGCACGATCTTGGCTCACTGCAACCTCCACCTCCCGGGTTCAAGCAATTCTCCTGCCTCAGCCTCCCAAGTAGCTGGGACTGCAGATGCGTGCCACCACACCTAGCTAATTTTTGTGTTTTTAGTAGAGGTGGGGTTTCACCATGTTGGCCAGGATGGTCTTGATCTCTTGGCCTCGTGATCTATCAGCTTCAGGGTCCTAAAGTGCTGGGATTACAGGCGTGGCCTTAGGCAGTGAATTCTTATATTGTAAAATCAGAGCATATGTGGAAGGACGGGAGGTTCTTATGTCAGCAAAGCACCCACCTCTGAGTCTCTGTAGATAGCTGGGCTGTGGCTCAACAGTTATTCTGCTTCATCAGAACAATTTGGGGGAGAAAAATGTCCATGGCCTGGGGCCACATGGCAGAGCAAACTTCATGCTTACTTCACAACCTGATTTAGCCATTACTTCATGGCTGTAGTACCAGAGGCCCATTCATTTTGTTGGCACAGATACCCCAAATTGCCTTTTTATTCACACTGGAGCTTTATTTCAGGAACATTTTTTTCTTATCACATTCATATTCATCAATGCAACAGTTACTCATTGAGCACCTAACCATATGCTCAGCACTATCCTAGTTCCTGGAGCTACAACTGTGGACAGACAGACAAAACCCCTGCTCTCATAGAGATTCCATCCAAATATGTGTGAATGATCTTTCAAGTGGCAACAACAGGCTAGGCCACCACAAAACACTGGCAGAGTCAGATACCAATCTTCACACTTGATTTCTCTGTCAGAGTCCTAGTTCAGAGAGCCAATGATGCAGGTGGGAAGGGGCCCTGTGGAATCTGGAGGAGAAAGGTGGGTAGCAGCCACAGTTGTTGGGCTCCAGCTTCCTGAGTTTTCCTTATGATTGATAGAGTGGGATTAGCATATGGGCAAGATGAAGGCTTTGTGACAACAACGATATATTCAAGGGAGGCTGTAGCTGCTACGTGTAGAAAACAGTATCCAGTGACCTTTCTGAGGAAAGTGAGTCATCTTGTTCCAGGGTACATGAAGTGTGGGTAATGAAATCCCCTATAGAGTCAAAGAGAGAATCTGAACTTGGGGATTTGGAGCTTAAATGATAGCCTAGATCAATGCTGTTGAATAGAACTTTATGTAATTATAGAAATGTTCTACATTATCTGATACATAGCCACTAGCCACTAGCACAGGCTTAGACTAAAGCCTTTGGGAGGGTGATTTTCTTGCATATTTTATCATGAATGTCTTCTGATGCAGTCAATCCTAGATGGAAGAGAAAGGTACTATTGTTATTCCTCTCCTAGCACTCATATAGCACCTCCCCCCTCCAATAACAGGGTTCCTTTTATAGTCCCTAGCTTCTAATTAAAAATCAGCTGAAAAAAAAAAAAGTCTGCTGCCTCCACTGTCCCCATTGGGGTTGGACATCAACAGGAAGCGTGGCACCATTTAGTGGTGCTGATGACGCCAGATTCTTTGTGTTAACAGTTTGTACATTAGGAGTAAGCTTTGTGACTCATTACGATATTAGAATTTTCCAGGACATGTTTGGCATAAGCAATAGCTAGGTGTCATTTCCGCTGATTCCCACACAGGTGCTCATCAATCGTGTTAGATGAATTAGGAGTGCTGAAACTTAAGATTATTACAAAACTGGTTTTTACAAACCTTTTCCTAGTTAGTCAAAAAGGACATTTATTGCTTTTTACATGTCTTTTTAATTTGTTTTTTGATAGTCGCCAAAAGAAAGAGCTTTGCTTTCCCTGATGGCTATGCTGTACTAAGCAGTGCCTCTGTTGCAGATGGACAATGCACAGGACCTGCTTTCCTTTGGTGGTCTTCAAGTGGTGATCAATGGGCTGAACAGCACGGAGCCCCTCGTGAAGGAGTATGCTGCGTTTGTGCTGGGGGCTGCCTTTTCCAGGTGAGCAGTGTAATGGACATTTCATTGGCCAGAATTGCTTGGCCTGATCCGCTTGGAAGAAGGGTGCACTTGAATTCGTGCATATTTCTATGGACATTTCAGTGTAATCTCTGTGAAACTAGAGTAAAATGTGATTCTGCCCTTATTCTAAGTAGATATGAATTTTTACCGTGTTGTCACCATCTGTGACTCTTTGTTTCCCCATCTTATGTGTATGGACATTTAATAACATCTTAGGTCACATTCTCTGTTTAATTCAAAGCTTATAAAAAGTCCAAGGTGAGCATATCTCTTGAGCCCAGGAGTTTGAGTGTGGCCTGCACAACATGGTGAAAACTTGTCTCCATAAAAAATAGAAAAATTAGTAAGGTGTGGTGGTGCACACCTGTAATCCAAGGTATTTGGGAGGCTGAGATGGCGAGGATCACTTAAGCCTGGGAGGTTGAGGCTTCAATGAACCATCATGATGCCACTGTAAGACCCTGTCTCAAAAAAGAAAAAAAAAAGACTTTGGCTTTTGCTCTGAGGGAAATGGGAGGGTTTTGAAGGTATTGAGCTGAGGAGTGATAATGATCTACAGTGTTTAGAAGACTCATTTGGTGCTGTAGGAGTCAAGGAGTCAGCTAGGCACAGGGAGTGTTGTGAGTAGACTGTCCAGCAGGGGAGCAGCAGTCATAAGGTGCAAGCAAGGAGACCAGTTATTAGCCAGGGAAAAACTAATGTATATAAAGTGCTTGTTCAGAGCTTTGCACTTAATACATGTTCAATACATGGTATCAACTATGTGAATACCTATCAAATTCTACGATTAACTAAATCAAGACCTCCTTTCTCAGGAAATTAAGTGAATTATCTCTGCCACTTTTTTGACAATTATTTAACATATTTTGAATTATGTTACTTCTGTATATTTATTTAAATACATATTTCTGACTTTTCTTTCCATTTGTGTGTGTGTGTGTGTGTGTGTATGTGTGTGTGTGTGTGTGTGTGTGTGTATAAAGTTTATAAAAAGTAAGACCAACTATAAATAGTAGAGAGGGAGGGGAATAAACAGGAGTAGATCCTTTTGGCAGTAAAGCTACATCTAATGGTGAATAAATGATAAGCCTGACCAAGGGGGGCCTTTCAGGGAGGAATGTGTCTTGCCGTAGTTGTCTGGAACCAGTGTACATGCAGTCAGGTATCGCACTCTCTGGGTTGGGAATTCTTGAGAATTTCAGTTAGTCTGGCTTGTGATGGAAGACTGATAAGACAAGAGGAGTGGGGAGGTAGCACCTCAAAAGAGTAGATGCAGAAAGATATGTAGGCACCACATCATTCCTCACCTCCTACAAAGGTCAAGATGTCTGCATACTGCAATTGGTCCATTGGAGCTATTGTTCCTCCCATTTTTGAAAATCTGTTTTAAGGACCATTTGTGCCTTTAAAACAGGAACAAATATTCTGATTCTTGCTGCAAGGACATGGGTGGAGGCTATTAGATGCTTAGATGCAGGTCACGATGTTACAGGAGAAAAGCTATTCTGAACATATTTACCATTATAGGCTTTGTTTCAAAAAGATTTCCTTTGTGCTTTATCTTTGCTTGTGTTTTAAATCAGAATCTCAGTCTGATGCTCTCTCACTCTGAAAGGAATTCAGCATCTTTTCTTAGTGAGTTGGAGGGCAGAGCTGGGAAGGCTGGAGGAGTTGTTCAGTGAGGAGAGGCACTGCCGGCCTTTGTTTCCCTTATCACCACTCTGCCTGGATCTTCAAGCTCTGGCTCCCTTTGTTGATGGTGTTGACAGTCAAGGCTCTGGCCTCCAGGGAAGCTCCACCTCCCTTGGGCTCACCTCATAGAGCCAGAGTCTCCCAGGAAGTCCAGGGAAATCTCCTCCTGTGCAGCCACTGGAAAGATGGAAAATCTGCACGTTTGACCTTAGTAGCTGCGGTTCCAGTCATGCGGAAGTCCAGGAAGTCCAGGGTCTTAGCCTTATAACGCTTTAGAGGCTTGAGAACTTACTAAAGCTCACTTTTTACTTCTCAGGCAAGGAAAGAACTAAATCAAACCTTATTACCCTCTCTCTCCAGACCCTTTTTGGAAATCTTTGCCTTACTCCCAAGTACTTTTATTCTATCTTTAATATGAACAAATTATCCTATATGTCCCTTGGCATTGCTTCTGGAAATAATTTCTCGGGGGAAATCCTGTAGCATTTTCATGTCACATCCTAGTTAAAGGGGACTAATTAAGTGACTTTCGAGAAACATGCACTGGGCCTTCTTTGCAGACCCATAACTCACTCAGGCTGTGCCAATGTGTGGTGTTATTAAGACTTTCCTGTGATTGTATTCGCTTAAGACCATGCTAACATTTATGCAGCATCACTAAAATTTAAATAGTGATAAATATAAAATATTCCAATTTAATGTTTTGGTGGCAAGCAAATTGCTGTGTTGAAAATGTTCTAGTTGGGTTTTTGATTGCTCACTGGAGGGCTATTACTGTGACAGCATGGTATGGCACCAGAGCTTTTGGAAGCCAACAGCAGGCTCCCAAACACCATAGAAATATCAGTGTTTTCTGCAAAGAGGAACTTGATGCAAGGTAAGGATATCTCTATGAAGAGAGGTAGTTTTCAGTACTCTAGTCTGATATTGATCATTTACTCTTAATGTCTTAAGTATTGGCTCTGCACCTCCCTAACCTACTCCTAGTATACGGGTGTGTACACACCTGCCACACCTGTGCACACACACACAGTGATGGGATGAGCTTGCTCTTTGTCAAGAGGGTGTTCAGGGAATAGGAAGCACCCTGGAATCATGGAGTCCCAGTGCTGGGTATAGTATGTAGACGATATTCTTTCTAGCTTTCTCCTGATGGGCAAGAATACTGCTCAGTCAGTCCAAATGTTTGGGCATTTAGGAGGATTAGGCAGACCACTGGACCTAGAGTCAAATAATCTAGTTTCAAGTTTAGTTTCTACCATTTCCTATCTGTGTGCCCATGGGCAACCTTTCTAAGCCCTACCTTTTTCTTTTGTTAACAGGGAACAATAATAGGTGTTCTCTGCATTTCATAAAGTTGAGTGAATATCAAATAATATACAATGACCTGTGAAAATGATTGTAAAGCACCTGTCAGTGACAAGGCAGTATCAACATCATCACCCTCATCAGGATGTGTCTTTTATACTATGAGTTTCTGCTGTAGAAATTCTTAGTTCTTTTGTTTCTACAATAAAAACCTTTATCCTCCTCATTTTCTCTTCTGTAAAGACACTTATATTCTACCGTGTATCTCTTAGTAATCTTTTTTTTTTTTTTGAGGTAAGGTCTCTGTTGCTCCAGCTACAGTACAGTGGCCGGATCTTGGCTCACTGCAGCCTCTGCCCCCCAGGCTCCGGTGATCCTTCCACTTCAGCCACCTCTGTAGCTGAGACTACAGGTGTGCACCAATGCACCTGGCTAATTTTTATAATTTCGTAGAGACAGGGTTTCACCATGTTGTCCAGGCTGGTCTCGAACTCACGGGCTTAAGCAATCCATCTTTGGCCTCCCAAAGTGCTGAGCTCATAGGCATGACCCACTGCGTCTGGCCTCTTTGCTAATCCTGCTGCTTAATTGAGGGTATTTATTTGCCTACTTGGGCTAATTGCTTAATAAGGCTTCCATATACATTTGTGTGGATGAAGAGGTCTCTTTCCTGGTGTTAAACATGAAGCAATTATTCCAAGATCAAGAAGAGAGAGTTCGTGTAAATGGAATTGACATGACTACTAAATGTTATATGGCCACTGAAACAAAGTTTATTTAAATATTATTCACACTTATATGTGGGTCACACACATTTATTTTCTGCTGTTTGTTGCCCACATGTAAGGCAGGTCAAGCTCTTGCATAAAAAGATATGCAGTGGTAGGGGTGCTGATGCTTTTAGCAGGTTTGTCTTTTCATGGTTTTTCTTTTGCCTCAAACCTGCTTTTTCCTTCTTCAAGTCAGGTATTTTCATTGCCCTTTCTGTGACCTGATTAAATCTCATGTTGGCACTTGTGTGTGTCTGTCTGCAGTCTGACCTACCAGGAGTCTCTGGAGTTCCAGACTAGTCATTTGTGTTTCTGTTTAAGGGGAGTCTCAAAAAGACTGTGAATTTCAGAGGCCAGCAGCCTTCTGTAATTTGGTTTTGGGTCTCAGCAAACTGGCCGCCTGCTTTTGTTTTTCTCTTAGCTCCCTATATATTGCCTTTACCTCCTTACTCTCAAGAGTTAAAATATCAGGTAACTAGTATGTCTGCCCCATGTAACACTGGCTTTGTTGTTCTCATGCCCCTGCCTCAGTCATCTTTGGAGTCCTATATCCATTTTTAATAACTCATGTTCTCATCTGCACATCTATCAATTATTATGCAATTACATGGGCTTCTAAGCATTCATGTTTGTAGTACTTTTGAACTTTCCACAGTTTGCAGATGTCATGGAACAGAACCTAGTACAAAAAAGGATGTACAAGTGCCATTACGCATGAGATTATGTGTTTTTATAATGGATCCCTGGAACAAGATTCTATTCTTCCCCCTCTATCCTTGGCATCTTCCTTGGAACCTCCTTGGCAGATTTTGGGTTATATATATATATCTCCGTTTGTAAAATGAACGCGTCCCCCTCCCTCAACCCTGTTCCTTCCCACCTCATGCTTTGTTGGCTCTCTAATTTTCTCAGTTGTGCTCTTCCTACTGAGGGTTTACCAATTAATTTTAACTATTTGGAGCTGGGCACCATGGCTCACACCCATAATCCCATCACTTTGGGAGGCCAAGGCAGATGGATTGCTTGAGCCAGGGTTCAAGACCAACCTGGGCAACATGGTGAAACCCTGTCTATACAGAAAATACAGAAATTAGCCAGGCATGGTGGCATGTGCCTATGGTCCCAGCTGTGCTACTTGGGAGGCTGAGGTGGAGGATTGCTTGAACCTGGAAAGTCAAGTCTGCAGAGAGCCATGATCGTACCACTGCACTCCAGTCTGGGTGACTGAGTGAGGCCCT